AATGGAAATGGACATAGATGGAGAGACAGGGGGACAGCAAGAGGAACAGGGGGAGGAACAAAGTGGAAGTGAGAGACAGGGTGACATTGAAGGTCACACAGTGAGAGACATACAGAGACAAGAGACAGAGACAAAAAGAGACAAGGAACAGAGAGGCAGGAAGACAAGGAGAGAAATGGAGAGTGAATCAAGAAGGAACAGAGAGGGACATCGTTACAGAGAGAGAGAAGGAGGGAAGGAAGGAAGGAGGGTGGGAGGAGACAACAAAGATGGTGAAGAAGAAGAGGAGGAGGAAGAGGAAGAGGACGAAGTCAGAGTTGGAGAGGGAGGCAGAGAGAGACCCGGAGAGCAGATGAAGGATAAACGTAGAAGGAGAGAGGAGTACCACACGCAGCAAGAGACACAGATAGAGAAGATATGGAGACAGACAAAGAGGAACAGAAATAGAGAGGGGGAGACAAATAGAAAGGCAGAGAAGATGTTGGGACAGAGAGAAATTACCACATTCACAGAGAGAGACACGGAGACACAGAGAGAGATCCGTTAGTCTTTACTAGGATTTCAGGAAGAGGGGTAACGGCATCAGCCCCCTCTGTTAAAAGCTCTGCTCACAGCCCCCCTTCCCCATGGAGTCCCTCCTGGTCACCGAAGCCTGGGAGAGTCTTGCTCTCAACCCCATCGTGCCTGTAGCCTTTTGTGTGTCATTAAGTAAAAACTACCATGCATTTATGAATGCTTATGCCCTTGAAAAACTACCTTCACGTTTTAAGGATGTTCAGGAATATCGGTTACGTTTATTTGAAAATTTTATTGCCATAGTGTGTCACACATGGTCACAGATAAACGATTAGAGAAAGGTGTACATTAAAAAGCACCACACACTCTCCCCACTCCTTCCCATTCTCAGAGGAAAGCCACTTCTTACATCTTTTAGATTTTTCATCTTGTTATCACTTCGCTGCTCAGTAATATCCTCCTCGCTTTATCAATGGGGAACAGTTTCCTCAGGGTTCCTGGATAGGATACTGAAGGATTGTGCCCTGATTATTGAACTTATCCTCTGTGCTTTGTCTACAAGTTGGCGTGATAGGTTTTTTGGTGCCAACAGAGAACCCATAAGAAGATCTGAGTGGAGTCTGGTCTGTCAGTCGGGTCACAGCCTGACGGTGCCTCCTTGTGGGCGTGGCCTTCTCATGAGGAGGGTCCTGGGAACTTCCCCCCATCTCTCTGCTCTTACCTTCTTACTTAAAAGCCGGGAGCTTCCAGAGCCCTGTGATGCCACCACCACCCTTAGAGCCACAAGGCTTTGCACCCACTGGCCTGTGATCCTCCCGCATTCTGCATCATTGAGCCTGAAGACGGACTTATGGACTAATATCAGACTTATGGACTTGATCTGGACTGGGTTGGGATGGTTTTTTTTACTCTTTTTTTTTCTTTTAAAAAACATATTTATTTATTTATTTTTAATTTATTTTATTATTTTTTATTAGGGGCTCATACGGGATGTTTTCTTAATATACAATTAATTGTTGATATAAAGCTCTCTCTTGCACAGATATGAGTGTCACCGAATTTGTTTCTCTAGTAAACCCAACCTAACACAGTTGATTTTAACATTGAGAAACATTAATTCATGGTATTCACAATGGAAAACATCAATAAATAGTATTAGACAATCGACGTGCATCTTGCTTTTGCAAAGCTAAGCTGCATTCCATGATTTCATGTCCCACCCACCTTGTTTTTCTAGGAGTTTCTAATTTGTGGTCTTTCTGTGTCCTTGCATCACTTGCCTTTAATAGAGCCTAAATTTCCCCTCCACATGCTTTATCACGCAGGCTTCAACTGATTCTCATTTTTCTTGAAGACTGTTTTCTGGGTCCTTGATACCTCTGCCAGTCTGGACTGACTTCCCCCTGAATCTGATGCCCACTTGTCCTCTTGGGAATTTCCTTTGCCCCTCCCGAGGTAGAGCCAAATCTTCTTTCTAGGCATACTTGCCTGTTTTTCCTGGAGCACATCTTCAATGAACTTCCTGAGAAAGGTGGTGGGAGCTAAATTTTTTGAGAGGTCCATCTGGAAAATGCTTATATTCCGTTGTCTTTCCCTATCTGATTTATAGTTTGGGCAGGGAATTCCAGGGCAAAAGTCAGTTTTTCTCAAAGCTTGAAAAGTCTCCCACTATTGTTGTTAGGTGCCATCGAGGCGGTTCTGACCCATCGTGGCGTATGGACAACAGAGCAAAACACTGCCCGGTCCTGCACCGCCATGCAATGGTCGTGGTGTCTCAGCCCGTTGTGGCAGCCCCTGGGTCAACCCGTCTCATGGAAAGTCTCCCTCTCTTTCATGGCTCCTCTACTTTTCCAGGGATTGGTCCCTCCTGATCACATGCCCAAAGTACATGAGACTGAGTCTCAAGAGCCGGACTTCTAAGGAGCATCCTGGCTGTATCTCTTCTAAGACAGATTCGTTGGTTCTTTCGGCAGTCCACAGTTACCTTTCAGTAGACTTTGCCAGTGCCACCATGAAAATTCATCCATGCTTCTTCCTTATGCGATTATCAGCTTTCACCTCTGAGGTGGCTAAAAGGACCATGGCACAGGTCAGGTGTCCCCTACTCCTCCAAGTAACATTCTTACTTTTCTACCCCTTGAAGAAGTCCTGGGCAGCAGATTTACTCAGTGCAGTGGGTCGCTTGATCCCTTGACTGCTGCTCCCCATGAGTGTGGATGGCACAGCAAGCAAGACAAAATCGTTGGCCACTTCCATCTTTCCACCATCAATTGCTGATATGCAGTGGCTTCTCCTTTTATCGGAGCGCTGCCTTTTCCTGCAGACATTTTTTACAACAGGCTCGCCATCTTTGATTTACCGACATTTCACAATGACTTATTTGGAAGAGGCCCTTCTTCCTGTCTCTCTTACTCCCTCCCTCGCTCCCTTCTGCCCTCCTCTCTTTCTTATTGCTCTAGTCACTCCGCGAAAGCTGAAGATCTGAGCTGGGAAATCATCTATAATTTCGTTTAATCATTTCCTTCTCTTCTTGTTTGGGGAGATGTGTCAGTTGGAGAGGATGGCTGATTGGTTGAGCGAGTCTTCGTGTCTCGAATGGTTTCCTCTGTATCGTTCACATCTCCTTGCTTTTTCTTTTACTCCCGGAGCCTGCGCCTCTCTCTTCCCACGCTCCTAGTGGGTGAAAGAGAACCCAGAGAGAGGACCATTTCTTTTCAAGAACTTTCCTCACCCTCTGATTGCCTTCACAGCATCTGGTTTTCAGGGAGCTAGCTCATCTTGAATCCCTCCATCTTCAGAGGATATTAACTTTGCTTTCTAAGTTCTCTTTATTGTATCCGCACCCCCCACACCCACACCCTCAGTTCCTTGCTTGCTCATTTATGTTTGCTTCTGCTCTGTGCCATAAATTCTCTTCCCATGTCTGAGGAGTCTTGGTTCCCAATTCATGTTTCAGAAAGAGCCAATGTGGAGGGGACACGCTGCACAGTGGACACAGGTGGTTGAGTCGGGGTTTCCCTTTAGCGGAGTGAGGCTAAGGAGGAGGGGTAGAATTCCGCTCTGAGTGTCTTGGCAGCAGGAGCGAAAAGAGAAACACGGAAACCCAAATCACACTCTCCATTCCAAGAAAACGCACATCTTCCCGGGCACCAAAGAACTTATGTGCAGAGGACCTCGGGCAGGGAGCCCAAACTGCACAATCCGTGTCATGCCACTGGCAGACACTCCGTGGAAGATGCGATCGAAGAGCGGAAACACACATCGATCCTGACTTCTGGATCAGGATGGTGGACTGATCGCAGGTCTCTTATTCTCCACACTGAGATCTCACTAAAACAACACTAACCTCATAAGATATGTAAGGAGAGAAAGATAGAACCAACCACAGGTGAGAGATTCCAGAAAATTC